GCTAAAATAACTTATTAGCTGACTGAATGCGGCCTTTAAAGGCACTTTTAATAGGCAACGCGCCGCTCGAGGTATATCAAATTCGTTTCAAAGTAATTATTCAATCTGTCGCCGCGGGGCAAAACTGGCCGTGGATGTGAAAAAGGCCCAAAAGGAGACGCGGATTGGCCGAAAGTGGATCGCTTCATGGGAAGCATCCGCACAAGTGAACGACGATCACGCCTTCAACTACTCTCTGCAAGTTTTACAATTCTCCATATATGTACACCGTAAATAAGTGGAAATATGATATACCGTAAATCGAAGACGCACTTGTTTCTAACTGATATCTTGCACAATTGGATCATTCGAATTACAGTCGGAGACCGACTACCGTCGATAAATTCGTCATAACTATCAACATTGTGATACGCGTTATATCAATGGAAAAGAAAGTGCAGGTGGTACACAGTTCTATTTACGAGGAACTCTATCTGCTGCTTTTACACAATTTGTCATTTCACTTTTGTCAACAACTCGTAAACCTTTATCAGGTTCATTTGATGATTCCTTAAATCTATAACGCCTCTGTTCTTCCTTATATATAGATACGTGTGAGACCATTATTTTAAAGGGCATATGTATATCATAAATATACAGGGTGTCCCATTTGAAACAAAGCACCTAAATATCTTCTAAGACAGGCAAGTAAGAGAAAAATGTTTTAGACAAAAGTTGTAGGGTTTCGAGGGGGACATACGATACATGCATTATTTTGAGCTTTCAACGTTATGCTTGCAAGCTGCAAGCACAAGGATCTTTTTTCTAACTGGCAACCGCACTTTTCACCCTAATAGAAGTTGTTCCTCTTGAAGAGTTGCTTTCAGATACCTCATTTTTTATGTCATTCCCTCTAATTTAACGAAAAAAATGCCATGAAAATGAGTTCCATACTCGAATTGGAAATTCAAAAATCCTTGGTGCGCCTGACACCCCTCGATTTCTACTTGTTTGGTTACATTAAAGATGTTGTTTACACAAATCGACCAACGACTGCATTAGATTTACAGAGACGTATCAGGGAGGCTGTCGCAAACATAACTGCACAAGTTCTTCGAAGGGTTGTTGAGAATTTCCGTCATCGGATTGAGTTATGCCTGCAAGTTAATGGTGGAAACATTGAACATCTCCTGTACACTCTCAGAAACTTCCCTATTACATGCTCGCGCTATTTTTTTCTTTTTCTTTTCGCAAGGGATGCAAAGCAGACTTAATCTCCACGTGGTGCATCCTCGGTCACGCTAATAAAGTCTGAATGCCCAATTCGAGTATGGAACTCATTTTCATGGCATTTTTTTCGTTAAATTAGAGGGAATGACATAAAAAATGAGGTATCTGAAAGCAACTCTTCAAGAGGAACAACTTCTATTAGGGTGAAAAGTGCGGTTGCCAGTTAGAAAAAAGATCCTTGTGCTTGCAGCTTGCAAGCATAACGTTGAAAGCTCAAAATAATGCATGCATCGTATGTCCCCCTCGAAACCCTACAACTTTTGTCTAAAACATTTAGATTTACAGAGACGTATCAGGGAGGCTGTCGCAAACATAACTGCACAAGTTCTTCGAATGGTTGTTGAGAATTTCCGTCATCGGATTGAGTTATGCCTGCAAGTTAATGGTGGAAACATTGAACATCTCCTGTACACTCTCAGAAACTTCCCTATTACATGCTCGCGCTATTTTTTTCTTTTTCTTTTCGCAAGGGATGCAAAGCAGACTTAATCTCCACGTGGTGCATCCTCGGTCACGCTAATAAAGTCTGAATGCCCAATTCGAGTATGGAACTCATTTTCATGGCATTTTTTCGTTAAATTAGAGGGAATGACATGAAAAATGAGGTATCTGAAAACAACTCTTCAAGAGGAACAACTTCTATTAGGGTGAAAAGTGCGGTTGCCAGTTAGAAAAAAGATCCTTGTGCTTGCAGCTTGCAAGCATAACGTTGAAAGCTCAAAATAATGCATGCATCGTATGTCCCCCTCGAAACCCTACAACTTTTGTCTAAAACATTTCTCTCTTACTTGCCTGCCTTAGAAGATATTTAGGTGCTTTTTTTCAAATGGGACACCCTGTATATAATAAATTACTGGTTAGTTATGTACATAATCCTTTGAAAACTATTCAATCTCCCGGAAGCTGTATAGCTCCTATGTATACTGCTTTCGAGGTAACACTGCTATTCTGGTGGACGTGTGAATGTAGATGCATTATTTTCATTTTTGCGAAGCAACCCTAAACGATTAAGACGAGTTACGTGGTCGTTACACCCACGGAATCACCTGACCACGGAGAAGATTCACGTGCACCGGTTCAGCCTGTTTCTAGAATTCCACAGCTTCTACCTGCCGTAGACTTAATTCGTTTTCCTCGTGTTTCCTTTTCGAAACCTTACGAAAGAAAAGAAAGTCCTAATAGTTGCAATTGGCCTTTAGAGTTTCCAGCGACACGAACGCTTTTATTGTTACGATAAATTTAAAGCCGTAAGTGATAATTAAACCTACAAAATTGTCATAACTCATCTCCATGTTTATATGTAGGAGCATTTACAGAAAACTGTTCTTGACATCGAACATGACAACTGCTCTTTAATCAGTAAATTTACCTAATTGCATTCCGTTTAGGCAAATATGTGTTAGACACAAGCAAGCTTCTACATATTACCAATTAGCTATGAATATACAGAAAGTTCTTTTCGTAAGAGCCATATATATACATGAAGAAAAATGTGTAATTGTGATTACTCGAGCAATGATTAGTATTTTGACAGCAATAGGATAATGACAGCAATTCTTTAACATTCAAATATAATTATTATTAGTTTGCTTCGTAAATCTTACTAGAATTCTAGTGGATATTCCTACTACAATTTATCGTCCAAATATAATATTAACCATTGACTTAGTAAATGCAACTATACATTTTTCCGCGTATCTAGTTTGTCTATTGAATACTTGTTAATTTGAATCAGAGTCTATCACTGTGCAGGGGAAGAGGAATAAAATGTCAGCACAACAGTGGAGCAGGTGGTCAGGTAGGTAGGTAGATCGGTATGCAGTCGCGTAAGGAGATGTTCGCGTGTCCAGGGTTAGGCCGAGAATGCGGCGCAACGTAGAAAAGGCGTTATAATCGAGAGCAAGAGAAGCATCAGAAGACGAGGAAGTCAAGAGTCATTTACGGAATGACTACAAGACTGTAGTATAGGAAGAAATTAAGAAGAAGAGAGAGAAGAGCGTTGAGGTTAAGGGAGGCCAATGAGAAGAACTTGCTAATTAGGTGGTAATTAATTGCATAATTAATGGAATTAGCATTAGCATGTATACATACATCGCCGAGATGTCTCTTGTAAAGGATACCAGTCGTGCTTAAGCATTTTATGGAACCATTCAATTCAAAATTTTTAAGAGCTTCAATAGTTAATGTGCAGAAAAAATGATGAAGATTCGAATCTGATAATTCTTATACGTACGAGTGACAATTTGTTCTTCCCTGATATTTTCCCGGTTGATTCCGAAGACGAACTAAAAAAGTGGCCGACCCTACACCTTTAATGCATTCAAAAGATATAAGGTTGTCCTAAGGTTTACTCAGGAAGGATTCTATAAGTCTCGTTCTTATTTCTTTCCGGTTGCGGTACGGCCCGCCTATGTTTTATCAGGCACGCTGGGCATAGAGCAGCTGTTGGACATTGAGGTCTACCTTGTGACGTATTTATGCGATGGAACTGCTGCCGATGGAGAGAAGCTTCGTCGACTTTGATCCGAGGAGTAGCAATAACCGTTGTTTTTCTCGCGATTATTTTCAAGGACGATAAATTATTTCAACAGGTTCGCGGGAGCTGCACCTTTCATAAATACACGTCACATTGTATTACCGTAACTCATGGTCTAACGATGCGCTTTGCTCTAGCGAGGAAGCAACCGCAATGTACGTCCTTTGAAAGATTTCGAGAGTATAGATATACCTACGTAGGGCTCGTCAAGATCAGTGTGAGAGGAGCTTAAACGATCCGAGGGAGCCGGTTGCGTCAGGACGGCAACGTGAAGAGAGAAGTCGAGAGAAGTGGAGAGGAAGCGTCGACCGCTAATGATGATTGATGATCTTCTCACTAGAACAGAACTGCACGTAAGCTATGCCATGAGATCTCGATGTCGAGCATGTAGGAACCCGGTGAGTTCGGACTGGCATCGAGCGACGGAACGAAGAAATGCTTTATTGAATTGTCGAAGATGTCTACGTCACAGAGATGCTCGATCCCCAGGATAGGATTGCATTCAATCGCATCTGATCGAATCGGATGGAATCGAATCGAGCCTCGGCAGGATCACGTGGGATCACGTGGCACAAGTCCTTCCCGGAAATCGGGATGAGACGATCGTGCACGAACACTTCCGCGTTTATTCTAATAAATTTCGTGGGCTTCTTCCAGCGACTAAAGATCGGTAAGTCAAAGATAGAGTGAGATTAAAATCATGAAGAATTGCTAATGACTCCAGAACAAATAGTACTGCTGGCAGGATCTTATTGCGCCGCGTATAAGGATAGCTATTAAAAAGCGGTCTGTGTAGCGTCAAATAATGTGTTTAATAAAATGGCGCTGGAGGATCTTCAAGTTGAAGGGTTGACGGCAGTGATGGCGATAATGATAGTGCAGCAATGATGTTTGTGTCTGGTCGAGTGGCTCGCGTAAACTAATTGCACACGTAGAAATCCTTATCCGTTTTCTTGGTGTGATTGGTTGGCGAACACCAGCTGAGGTATGTCGAGCAGCGTCTAGTTGCCCTGACACTCAATGGCTTCGAACCTTTGCTATAATTCCTATGATAATCCGGCCATTATCAAGCTTCGTTTATGGACCTTTTTAGCTTCGCCTGATGTCGCCCGATAGGGAACGCTTAAAAATCACCTGATTACCTCGTAAGTTTTAATGACAGTTGAGAAGCGCGCTACCAAGGAGACTCACTCACCTCCGCTTCGGCGCAGCGATGTTACGTTCGAATTATCGGAACGGGTTCCCCTGCGATTTGCCGTACCTGAAACAAAAGTATACTTTTCAAGGCGAGCTCGGCCGATCGACCGATAACGAAAATACCGTTCGACGTGTACTAATTGGAGCTGCAGATAGCTTACAGCCGATTTTACAACGATTACCGTCTGCTCGAGCATCCGTAGCCAGATATTCCTCTCACCTGTGAAACCCTGCTGGATGGTTAGTTGGTAAGGTACTTACTCTACTAGGAATATAGCAGCGGCTCTGACATCGAGTCACTAGTAGATCGTATGTATACTAACATTAGTAGTAGCAGCAACACGAACCAGTAGCGACGCATTCGCCGATCGGACGCCGCGGCGCTCCTTCACGAAAATTGGACGTGGTGGAGCCTCGCGGCTGAAAGTGGCTACTTTGGATCGCAAGGCAGCGATCTTGCATAGTTAGCCGAGATCACCGGTATTGCGGCGGGTAACGAGTCGGGTATAACCGGTAAAATAGAAGCAGCATACCATCCGTTAGTTCGAGTATACGTTTTTCAGCATGGACTCTGCCGAGGCAACATAGTCAACATGGGAGCGTTCGTTGCACGCGGAGCACGGACAGCCAGTGGGAGCATAAACCCATAGCAATCATACGTGAACGCCCACTCGGTCCTCGAACTGACCACTAGAATACCTCGACCGCGTTATATTTTATGCTTTACAGTGTCCTGTATCGGTGATTTTAATCGGGTCGGCTTATGGCATTACAATCAAGAGCCACTGCGGAGATAGCCGCTAGACTCGAATGCGCCAGTAGGTGTATATAAATACATTTAATGATATTCTCCTTATTAACTCTCGTGCGAGACTCTCCGCGCGAGTCCTCGCGATTGCGATGAGTTCGCGTAGGCCAGTATGGCTTTAACTATGGCAGCATAATAGCTACCCCGTTCTCAATGCCCGTTTCGCTTTCGAAATATGAATGCCCTCTTCTATGCCGACGACGGTTATTGCTTGTTCGACCGAGAAATCGCTCCGCTTTCCGTTCGTTTACAATGTATTTACGGTGAGCCCAACAGATCGAGGATGACGATGATGATGCTAATATTGATAATAGGATCGACGCCAGAATTCTTATGAAGCATGATTTCCCGTGCGACGTCAAGCCGATTTCTTCGATTGACACGACTTCACGGAAATCCCACCGTTTAGAATTCACCTAGCATCTGAGCTAGGTGAATATGAGCGTAATCAGGAATACGTCGATCTGGCTAGGCAGGTAAGTAACATCGAAACCTTTTCACCGTGCTGATTGCAACAAGCTGGCTCTTCTGGTATAAATCCGGTATGTATGGAGTGCGGTGAGGAGTACGAGTAAACGAACGAAACTAGTCGCCGTTCCATCGATCTACGATGGAGTTTAACGAGACGCGGCATAAGTCAACCGCAGGAGCAGCACCGCGAGCTCTAGTTAGATTTTATGGGATCACGCCTTTTACCGATCATTCTTAGCCAGAGAACGCTGCTATTTCTTACCGTAGGTGTAGGCACCTACCTACCTCGAGGTGGAGGAGTGTCCGGAGGAGGAGCCCTCGCGAACAAATTAGTTCTTCTAATTGAACACATATCTGAAGGAATTATTGTCTTCCTTCCCGCCCCCTCCCCGCACTTTTAAACAGTAGAACAGATATAATCTAATGACTAGAGCGCTAACGCGCTACATTGAAATGAAGTTTGTGGTTTGATTTTATTTAAAATTTTTCAAATGTCACGTCTAGGAAAGAGAAGATGAAGTTAATCTCTTGGGGGTCTTGCGAAACTTTCTAAAGGCGTTGTACGTGCTTTTTGTATATTTTTTATCTTATTTTCTAGACAACTACGAGACATCTTAAACAGACTTTAGTAGCTAGGAGCAATCTTTCCTACGAGGCAATTCAAGAACGAGCCAGTGGACGTGCTCCGATGGCGGCAAGGAATGCCTGGCATTCTTCCTTCCAAACTTTTCATCCTCCTCGCCCTTCTACTTTTACTGTGCTCTATATTCTGTTCTATTGATTGGATCGCTCGCCTGCTGCGTCTTCTGGCTGTTGATCTCTAATTCTACCGTCCATGCTTAAACGATCTTTAAGAGATAAGCCTTCTGTTGAAATGGCCAACGAGATTTGACCCCCGTGTCTAACAATGATTTCCTTCCTAGTTTCTTCCGTCTCTTTGATCATTCGTGAGAAACATCAAAAGAAGTCTCTTTCAGGCCAAATCGAGAGAGCTCTAACATTCCATGAAAGTAAATGATGGACTTCGTGGAAGGAATCACTGATCTGATCTCTGCGCCATGCGGTCCTATTATTTATTACCAATAGAATTAATACCGTTATCTACGCGCTCCCTGATCGACTATTTTTTTGCCGTTTAAGTTAAAGTAGAAATTTACACACAGTAGTTAAATTATTCATATGTCACTTGAAGATGTACTCGTCAAGTTTTTGTTTCTGATTATATACATATCTATTGCAACAAAATTCTTCCCTTCGGCACAAGCAGTTTCAAGAAAACTTGAATTTAAAATGCTGGAAGTCTGTTGGATACACGAAATTATCAAATTTGCAGAGACTTATATTGCATCCCGAAATATCGAACGAAAAAAGGGCTTACTCTTTTTTGACTTTATACAGAAACAGTCGATAAAGAGAAAATTGCTCGTGTACGTTACATCAATGGTTCGCGGAATTGGATCGTAATATTTATCCACATGAGTTTTTTCATAACTTCCATATTTTCTTTTCACCCTACAATTAAGGGAAACGAGCTGTATCTTAAAGATGATCAAACGATAGGGAGAAAATCATATGCAAGATTGTGCGTTCAGAGAATACCATAATCAAATAGACTAATAATTTTCAGTAACTAAAGTAATTTCAAGTAATACATCACGCGAATACCAGACGTTAAACTACGCGTCTTCTTCAATTCCTTAGTGTATAAGTAGAACCGCGTTGCTTCAATCGTTAAGATGCCTCTCGGTACATGTCGCGACGGAACGACACGTATCGTAGTGTCGCAGAGTTGGGAGTTTATTCGCAGCCGTTTAGCAAGAGTATTATAAGGTGACAAAGAGGAGGTACGATAGAAAGGTAGTACTGCCCATGTTAGCCAGGTGTCCGGCGCCATAAAACTTATCCACGATCTTCGAATAAATTCCATTTTGTTTCAATCCGAACACCGCAGTATATTTTTCCTGTCCGAGCTGTCAAGACTCACTCCGCAAGATCAGTAAATTTTCGAGTTAACTCGTAATACGATCACACTCTAGGATACGCGTAGCAGAAGATTGATATTCAAGAAGTTTAATTCATTAAAAATGAAAATAATTCTCACCTTATAATTAAATGTTTGATCTTTAACTTTTGCGCATTTAGAGACCTCTCGTAACATGTACTTCATCCGACGGTTGAATGTCCAGCGCAATGCCGTGAATTGGTTGTTTAAACTCGGTAGCAAATATTAATCCAAGTTAATTTCACATGCGAGACGCCGCAAACTGCCGAGCGCTCAGCGCAGTCTCTCGAGCGCAGACAATTATCGCGGATCAAGAATTCGTAGCAGAAAAGAGGTCGTGTACCTTGTGGACGAGATTCATCCAGGAGGTATCTGTATACCTACCTTCTATATCTATCTACTTACTTCGGAGGATGAACGCAGAAGCCTCCCGGCTGAACACTCGGACGCCTCTCGGCTATTGCCGACGAAAAAGAATCTTAAATTGGCAATTACACGCTGCGGCATTCCACGGTTTTAGTTGTCATGTCACGAACTTCTGGGCGCAAGAAGAAGGTTAATTTATTCTGGACAATTGTCCAGGCGCAGCTGAATCGGCTAAACGAGCGAAGATGAGGCCATATGGAATGTGACACCTGCCGACAGTCCTAGGTTCCCTTTTTCTACGGGCGCACGATCCCGAAGGACTCAAGCAGCGAGAACCGCTTCCCTTTTTATCCTTCCATTCATGCCAAATATAGTGAGCGATATCGCGCCATAGAATTCTCCTTGTTTTGCGACACTCGCCTTTTTTTTCAAAAGCCACGGCAATTAACTGGCACAAAGAAACGCGACGTCTTCGAGATTTACACGTATTTCCGGACATAAGATTTAACGTGCGGTTCTTTATGTACCGTCTCAATGATTTAAGTTTATTCTTTCTAATGATAAAAATGTCAAGAGAAGAGACTTTCCAAAATTGTTCGAAATAGACGAATCTTAATTAGTCTCGACCCCGACGTCTTGTTTGCAACAGGAGGCAATGCTCCCAAAGTCCAATTACTTTTCGCTTCGGAGGATTCAGCTTATTGGCGTCGACCTTGGGGGAAAGGTCGACGGCTTCTTCCGAGCCAATGCTATATGGAATTCAGGCAGATAGTCGTTTCGAAGTATTCGATATTGCGTAGGTACATGTCATACCGATCGGGGAGTGTCCGGTTTTACCGAGGCATGTGGGTGTTGTTAAATCGTCCGATTCCGCGCTTAATATCCTGGCGACGCACCAACCGGGACGCCCTGTGGAATTAGATCGACGAGATAGCAGCCTAGAACTGTGAAGCGTATCATTCTTCTACACCTGTAGATCTTGCTGATAAACCTTTTCGCTCTCGAGCAGATCAAAGTCGACCCGTGCCCGTAAGCTTCTCTCTAATCCTCTTTCATTTCTCCAAGCAGACGTCGTAAAACTTGCTTCCCCCCCCCGCTCGCTCGCTCTTTCTTAATCCACATCAGTTCACTTCTTCATTCTTGTAAGACATTAGCGCATTTTTCCATCCACTTATACTTGCTTCTTCTGATGTCGACCATTTAATTCAGCTCGAAATAGACGTTATAGAAAATTCATGTGCTTGTGATACAGACAGTTAGACCTAATAGAAGCTTGCATGAATGAAGATTAAGGATGGTTAGAAATTTTGCAAGCTTTTTCTACGACTTTTTTCTATGTTACTTAAAGCTTAATGGCAGCAATAATGTAGCGAATGAATATTTTTTCTAAATTAGGATAATGTTAAAGTTCTTAAGT